TGAGCCCATTTGGTCGAGCCCTAATGGAGATATTCAAACTTTTTTTCTATTGTCTTGTTACTTATGGGACACCCTGTATAATCATTTTTTTCTTTTAGACACTCTGCGCATTAGCTGTATATAATATAACAATAATTGACCTTCCATTTCCCTTAGTTCTTTATAAAAAACTATTAAATAAAACAAAAATAGATCTTGATGATATGAAATCATTATCTCCTACAATACATCATAGTCTTAAATCATTATTACATTATAAAGAAGATGATCTTGAAACAACACTTTGTTATGCATTTGATATTGAACGTGAATTTTATGGTGAAAGACGTCGTATTGAACTTAAAACAGGTGGTTCATCAATAATGGTTAATCAAAAAAATAAACAAGAATTTATTGATTTATATATTGATTATGTATTTAATAAATCATGTGAAAAACAATTTCAAGCATTTGCATCTGGTTTTCGTCGTGTTATAAATTCGAAACCACTTGAATTATTTTATCCTGACGAATTAATGTCATTTGTTGTAAGTTTATAAAATAAATAAAATTATTTTAAATTAAATCAAACATATTTTTGTTATTTAGATTGGCAATACGAATTATGATTGGAATGAATTTCAAAAAAAAACAGAATATAAAGGAGAATATCATGCCAATCATCCGGTGATGTAAGTAATAATAGGAAAAAAAAAATTTTTTTTTATTTAATAATTTTCATTTATTCTAGTCAATGGTTTTGGCAAGTATTTCATAAATTAGTCGAAAATGAGAAAAAGAAATTTCTTTGTAAGTATACACGAATTTATTTTCTACTATTTACTGTATAGAAAATGCCAAATGTTTAGAGGATTGCCTAAGTTTGTCATTAACTAATATATCTGAAATTATGAGAGTATCCTCAAGTTCGAGTATTTTCTGGACATCGCTGAATTGTAGTTCTTTAGTTTTTGAATTATTTATTTCACTATATGCAGATTTGTCATAAGCAACTCTGAAATCCTTTTATTAGTTAACTGACAACGACTAAAATCAAGATCGAACTTGATGATTTCAGATTCCGAGTATGTTCAGTGATAAAAATTATGATAATAATCTAGTTTGTAGAGAGTGTGGTGAGGTTGAGATTATCCATTATGTTTCCGAAACTCGCTATACTTGTTTCGTGCACATCTTTCATATTCCCATATAACTATAATTTCATTTTTTTTTCTTTTAGTATTTTTAACTGGCTCTGATCGTGTACCAGTTTTTGGATGGAGCCAAACACTAGTAAGAAAGTTTTTCCTAATTGATTGATATATATCTATATATATTTAATAATATTATTTATAGCCAATGACAATTCAAAGAAGTCATACCGATGATATACATTTACCTGTTAGTCATACATGTTTTAATATACTTGATTTACCATCGTATTCATCAAAAGAAATTCTGAAAACCAAATTACTTGAAGCTATTCAACATAATCAAGGTTTCAATCTTGTTTAACTTTATATTTTTATGACAATAAATTTGTATCTATCCTCTCACTCATAATAGACGATCAAGCATTTTTTTTTTTAAATATTTTTTATGCTTTTTTTCTGAGTGACTCCTTCCCTTTAGTATACCTTTATTTGACCATACATAAAAACAGAATTTCTTTTGTGATAAATTCTTCTATGAAAACTGATTCTATTTTTTATTTCTATATTTTTTGTTTTTTTTTTTTTATAAAAGAAAAGATTTTTCCCTTCTTTTTTTTATAAGAAAAAAAAAAAAAAAAAAATCTCTCATAATGTTTTAAAACAAAAATTTTATTGTAAGTATAAATAAAAATATAATTATAGTTTTATTATTAAAAAATTTCATAGTTTTAATGTTTGCTGTTTATAAACTAAAATATACAAGATGTTCGTTTAGCACTAATTGTTTGATTGAAAATCTAAATTTAAAATAGAACAAAAAAAAGTTCAATAATTCTGATAGACAACTAATAAGTAAGTATTGTTCTCAAAAACCAACATATTTGAATATGATGGTTGGATTTGAAATATAGTAAGATGTTTCTGTAGTAGGAAAACTTTAGACTTTTCAAAAGTATTTCTAGAAGTCAAGTATCTTTTCTATAAAACGGGTAGGTTTTTCTGGATATCTGTAGAACAATAATATATTAGTTCAATCACTATAGAGACGATCTTACGGAGGAGTGCAGAAAGTCAGTGATCTTAATGGTATTATGTATTGAAAAAAAAAAGATTGTTTGTTCTAGTTCATCATTTATCAACAGTCATGATCTAAAATCCAAATGAATTCATCCATGCTGTTGAGCAAAGTATATTCTTTTTTTCTCTTCGTTTCTTTAGTATTTTTCATAACTCATAATCCTATAATGAAATGACTAATCAGTCCGAGTAGTCTCTTTTTTCGAAACAAAACACAAATGAGACTGATGTGACTTTCTCGTTCCTAAAATGAAACTACCTCTATGCTAATTGTTCAAGTTTCTTTCTTTACATTTAGGAAATATCGCACAAAAAAAATGAAGGTTTCTTATCGTTTTCAACTATTCAAACAAAATTAACAGGTTTTTCTCAAAAGATATTATCATTTTTTTTTCGCTAAGTTGAACCAACCTCCATAAACTGTTGATTAGCAACTCACTAGTTGACAATAGGAATGGAAGATCGGTGTAAGCGAGTTCAACAATTATTAATTACGAATGAATGATTCGAACCATTCTGTTCAAACAATTAAGAATGGCGTCGATTATTATAGAGGTGTTCATTATGGGAGGTATTCCTATGATTACAATTGCAGTCTTTTAATTTTTTCTCCTCGTCAATACACTTGATTAAACTAATTTTTTCATCAAAAGACTCAATGTTGAACTTTCTAGAAAAAAACATTTTTTAACGTAATGCTGATGGGATTAAAAAATCAAGCACGATAAATTTGTTTCGTTTGTAAACCTAAGTATTATCCATATCGATCATAAAATCTCTTTGAGTCGAATTGACTAATACATTTTTTCGCTCTGTCAATGTGTGTAACGGAAGGAACTCCAAGTTTCTCTCTGTATACTTCAACATTTGTTTTCGATGATGTTTCACAAAAATATATTATCTAGTTAATTCTACAATCTGAAGATGAAAGTAACATGAAATATTGTATAAAGTATCAAATTATAGAACAAAATCTAAATGTAATTTTTCAGAGTTTACGAGATTTTTTTTTTTTTTGAATTGTCTTTCAAATAATAGAACGTACATATTTGAAGCATTGAATCATGATGACTACTTAGTTAGGTTTGAAATAACAAAACTACAATTTACATAGATGAGCTCGAATTAAGTTTACTTGTTATGTTAAAAGAGTGCACTTTTTACATCGTCAAATCTAAAAAAAAACATTACTTGATCAAGTGTATTGAAGAGAAAAAAATAGTGAAAATATGATGATTGCAATTATATCTAGGTTACCTATATTACATTTGAATAAGTCAAATGAAATTGTGATAGTAAACTGAATCTGTGCATAGGCTTTTATAAACAATAGATATAAATGAATATGAAGAAATTCTTTCGAAAATTTCAAATTTGATAAAATAATAAAGAATAAATATTTGATATTTGAATACGGTTTTAATGGTGAAAAAACTTTGATGACCTGTATCAAATAGTCATGTGTTTTATGACATTTTATTGTTTTCTAAGCATAAATATCATAACCGCTAAAGAATATGGTTTATGTAGTCCTACGGGTAAAAGTTTATGATATACACCATCCATAGTATTATTTTTCTACAGGATAATGTTGTACTTTCAGATAACATAAACAATACATTCTATACTGAATTGTATACGTGAGAAGCTATTTGATTCTACTAAATAGCCGCAAGTGTTTTTCTAAGGATACAATGTAAAAACACATAGAAATACAAACAAATTTTAAACCAAATGAAAATCTATCGAAAATCGAATTCAGTAATATAATTGATAGCTCATAGGATGATAATCTGCTAGAGAATCATGAAGAATTTCAAAAATTTCAGAAGTATTATAAGTATAGAAGAGAAACAATGTGGAAATAGAAGAATATTGAAAAAAAAGTGATGTTTCTAGTTTATTGTTGTTCTTCTCACTATTTTTTCATCTCTATGTACAATCAGTAACAAAGAAAGATGAGTAGTATCATACAACAATGAACAATAATGATAGAAGGGTCTACGTTAATATCAGACCTACATGCACATCCATAGATGCAATGAAATATTTAGATGTTTATGTGTCTTTTTCTGATTGCAAAAGGAAATAAATGACATTATAATAAATCTTTTCTTTATGTATTTATTGACTTGTGTATAATCTTGGTTGAGGCATTAATATCATAGTATAAAGAAAAAGTGTATTTTACTAGTTAAAATTTTATAGAGAACTTTTAGAGTTGTTCCTATTTAAACATTTTGATTAATCATGTTCAACATTTTCTATGTATAGTTAGCCATAAAAATCAATGATTTTCAGAAAATCTTTTCGTCTATCAATTTTTGTGGTGCTATCTGTGTTGATCATCTTAGTAGACAAAAAAAATAAAAAGGTTTAAATTTTGACAAATAAATAAGAGTGCTAGAATTCAAACACTGAAAAGTCTTAAATAAAGATGTTGCTGAAAATATGTCGATAGTTCCATAGAGTGTGATAGACGAAAAATTTTGTGACAACCTATGGTTTTTTATGGCTGACTATCTATTGTGCACTACAGAATGATTTACTAGTGAATCACATCATGGATTTGTTAATTGTCACTGATATTAGAATTTATTTGTACAAAATAATAAGGATTATGAAGATTGTCTGATGTCAAAAACAGATAAATTATCAGTCATAGACATATAGAATTATTCTTTCGATACAGAAAGACAGATCGAACCAACTATGATTTTGAGTATTATGAACGTAATTAGCAAATTTACACTTATTTTTTATGATTCGAAAAACATTTTTTTTGTCATTCTTATATGATTCATAAATTTTCAGATTTTGACATCAAACAATCTTCATAAATATTATTCATGTTTATAGATAATTTCTATTATAACGAGCTATAATTTTGATATAAAATCTATTTTTTATCGTATGTCAAAGTGCAGACTTCCCCCCCCCCCCCCCTCCGGGAAAAAATATTATTACGCATCCTATATTAACATGAAAGTAACTTTTATTGTTTATTCTTGGAAAGAATGTGTTGTTCAAGATAAAAACAATCTTTTATTCAAATAAAACTTTTATAATTCAAAATAAATCTTACTTTTATAACAATCATCTTCATCTATTGTATTTTCATGTTGATATTTTTTCTTTATTAATGCAGTTTTAATTGTTGTTAATCCTGTTCGATTTTCTTTTGCATTAACAATATAATGATTCATTGAAATATTTGATGATATATTCGAAAATAATGCACGTCGATGTAAATCTAAAAGACTTCGTCTAACAATTGGTGGAATTCGTTTAGGATTTAAGTATGGTTGTGATGATTTTGGATGATTAGATTTTATTTCAACACTTATACGATGATCTTTATAACGTGAAAGATTTAATGAACTATTACTTGTTTCTAATTCAATTGTATCTGGTATAAAAATTTGTTCTGATATAGATGATTTTTTAAGTAAACATGTTTCACTTGGATAATGCATATGAATTGTTGTACGAGGTGATGCATCAATAGTTGGTTCAGATGTAGCACGAAATATATGAATAGCTGATGGATCTGTTGATTGTGTTGGATTAGGTGGATAATGTTCATGAAGTGTAGATGGATTAAAACTTGTTCTATTACGTGTATAATAATTAGGTAGTATTGACGGTGGATTACATATTCGTTCTAATTTTCTTGCTAAATTAATAATAGCAAATAACCATAAACCAATTATTATTAAAACAAGAAAACTTTCTGAAAGACTCATTCGATAAATACTTTCTTCCATTACATCTAAAACAAAAAGCTAATATTGAAATATTAAATTATATATTTTTCTTAAGTCGGACAAAAAAATTTTTCTTTCTATGCCGTTAGAGAGAAGTGAAGACACTTAACCTTTTCTAGATTAATAGTACTCTGATGACAACTTTACACAAAAGCGAATACATAGATTAATTGTTTAATCAAAAGTCAAGAGTCAACAGTTTTATTCTTTATGTGACACAAAAGATAACATTAATCATGAAACAAAAACGAGTACTTATTACATGAAGTGATCCTTCATTTTAATCAATATATTCTCAAACAATACAAAAAATGACTTCTAAGATTAAAGTCCACATAAATCTTACGTACTCAAATGTCGAAATTTATCATTTCAAACAGAGAATGTCACTTTATTCACAAGATGTACCCATAGACATATACACATAAAAATCCCTGAGGCTCTACATAATACGATACTATTATTTATATTATAACAAAGAGAAACTAGTAATAGTTATTTTCAAGCGTCTACCAACTGTATCATGAGACAAAAAAAAAAAATTTGTGTCGATTTTTTTTTCCTTTTGATTACTTACTCAAAGATTTCGAATCTATATACACATATATATATCTTATCTTTAGAATGATGAATATTTGTATTGAATATGCTTCAAAAAGAATACTCAATTATATCCTATGAATATTTTCTTCGTTGAATATAAATGACAGTTTTGACATAGTATTTATTATCATTAATTGTTTTTTTTTTCTTCTCTCTAGAAAGATAGTCTCTTGCGTAAATTCTATATATTTATTAGTTACTATAAAAAAAAATTTAATGAATCATCTAGATCAACATTATTATGACTAAATGACAAAAATTCAGTATTTCCTTTTTCTTTCTACTCTATATATTGATAAACAAAATGGCATTGATTGATGTTTACTATTGATGTTATGTTTAATAAAAACTGATTGATGTTTAGCAATATCATGCAAAATTTCTATTATGCATATGTCGAACGATGAAGATTTTTCTATGACAGACGGAAGTTATTATCAGATCATGTTATTGAAAATATCATAAGAACAAACAGATAATCAAGTTTGACTATTGATGAAGATAATCATCTGGCTTTTTTTTTTGTTTTCTAAACAAGCAAGAACAATATAAATATAAATAGTCCGTAATTACATATATGTAATAACTTTCTTGCTATTAAATATCAAAAGTATTTTTGTTGCTGTTGTTGTTATGACATTAGATGAACTTAGTTGGAAAGATTTAATTGTCGAACAGAAACAACAAAAACAAGAGGAATATATATTAAGTAAGCTAACTATTAGAAGTAATGCACATCAAACATTTAGCGTTCATAGAGGGTAATGACGATATAAATACCCATCGAAGATTTTTCATCCTGTTCTGATATGAAAAAATTTCATGAGCTATTTTCTAATGAAAAACTATGAAATATGATAATAATTTTGACTTTGTTGCACAAGTCATTTCTTGTTTTGTTGATCGATAGTTCTTATAGATCTCTACATTACTATATTCTGATCTTATCGAATGAGATTAAAATCGATTTTAATATGATGAGACAAAAGTTCCTAGAAAATGTGTCAATGCGTTCTTTATCGAATTAAACATGTTTCGAAATACTTAAGGATGCTAATTCACAATCAAGGCTAAAAGCACTTTTTAACCATATATTCAAGAAAGTTTTTATTTATTGTTTTTTATTTCAAAGTATCATGTATCGCTGGTTTTTGCCAGAAATTATAAAAATAAAAATTCAAGTTAAAGTAATCAGAAAACAACATGTATTTTTGTTCAAACTAAAGAAGGTGAGATAAAGGCACAGTGTTTAGCAAATTTAAACAAAATCCTCGGTCCTACCAGACATGTTATTGCTGAGAAAGGGGACATTAAGCGAAGCATCTGTGAATTTCGAGTCTATGACGATTTTTGCTTCACACATTGAGGTCTATTCGTCCTGAAAGCTTCACATTTTCCTCTGAATCGTCCTCTAAAAAGAGAGGGAGGAGACGCTCTATCTGAATGTTAGCAAATAGCATTTTATATACACATGATATTTTTTTTTGCATAGTTAGAAACGGAAATATTGAATAAATTATATTTGAATAGTAGATTGTTCTTTTTTATTTTTCGTGAATAATAGTTTCATTTAGTTGTAATATTAAAATCGAATTTAAATATTTGTTATTTCTATTGATCATATTTGAAAAACAAATGTAATATACAATAAAACTGTTTCATCAGTTGAGACATACATATTATAAAAGTTTTATTCTATATAAGAGATAGAAATTTTATAATACTAAGTCTCAACAATTTCAATTACGTTGTTACATAAAAAGTATTTATTTTTATAGAACAGCTATTATATTTTTTCAGAAAGGAATATTCTGAATGTTTTCCAGTGTTTTCAATGATAAAAATAATGATTTAAATAGAGCAAACTCTACACAAGAAGAATATAAGAAAAAAAATGATTATAAGATTTCTAAAGATGGATTCTACAGTCGAGACTATCTACATAATGTAGGATCTCATAAGTTATTAATATCCTGCATTTTTACAATATTTTTTAACTCAATAGCATAGTTTCCCTTAGAAAGACTTGCAAATGTGTCCTTAAAATTTTGCTTAGAGATAGATCATTGTGAAAATACTCTATTGTGAGCATTTTGTATCTTATTGTGGTTCCTCACGGTTATAGTAAAAGTATCCCTTTTACATTATTCATATACACTGAAGATTTGATATTCTTATTTAAGGGCAAGAACAAATCAAAAGACTTGAAACTTTCATAATAAGTTATTCTCAATAAACTCTGTCTCTGTGCAAAGTTTCAAGTTGAAATTCGAACATCATTTTTTGTTATTGTTCCTGAGAGACTATGATATCAAATTAAAAAATACCGTTAGAATAGGATTAGGGTGTGAACTTTTTTCATGGTATTCTTAAATAATTAAAGCCTCATCATCTCTTCGCTGAAAAACGATTAGTTAGTTAGGAAACTTCACTCGTGCGACACAACATTGTAATTGAAGAAGATTCAAGACCTTATTTTTCATAGAAACTTGAGAAATAGCTTCAGGAGCTTATCGATGATTACTCTATCTTTGTGAAAGAAAGAGTCGTAGAGGTCATATTTTGTACTTTATTATTCTCGCTCTTATATAGTCTAAGGAAAATTATATTGACGGTTTCTAACTGTTGAAGAAAACCAAGAATTCCAGTTTTGTCGATCTTCTTTAAAAGAATCTAGCAATCATTTTTATTTTCTTCTATTGTTTTCTCTACTCTTCTTCTTATTTAAATGTTTTGACGTTGAAGATACTAAAAAAGAAATTGACAAATTTTGAAAACTACTATTCATAAAAAAAGCAATTTCAACGTAACTTTTCATCATTCAATTTTTTTTTTTTCGTTCTGTATGTATGATCGATTTACTACCTCCATTATGTAAAGTGCATATATAACTTACCTAGACAAATAAAACATGGTGGCTTTGTTTGATTGGTTTAATTAATAATATATATCCCTTCGATGAAATATTATCATTTATTAAATCAAAAAAAAAAAAAAAAACTCGATATATTGTTTTATTTTAGAACAAATGGCTTCAATTGGTTTACACGTATTAACTCTTATACTTGGAAGTTTATTTATTTTTATGGGTCATATTAAAATAACACCACAATTTTTTCCTGAACAACATATACGTATTAAAAATGAATTTGGAAAATTTAATAAAGAATTTCCATTTCATCGTCAAACTGGTTGGCGTCCATATGCAAAAAATTATCGTTTAGCAATTGGTATAACTGAAGTAGCTTGTGGATTTTTATTAGTTCTTGGTAAAAGAAATTTTTTATTTATTAATTATAATTGTTTTTTTTTTCATATCGATAAATTTGTAGGTTTTTTTTCAACATTAGCAAATTTAATTTTATTGATGGTGATGATAAATGCGATAATTACATTTCAAAAATTAAATTATCCTATGGAATATATAGGTGTATTAATATGTATTTCATTTTTACTTTTATTACGACTTGTTTTAGCATCAAGATCAAAAGTTAAACAATCAATAAAATCAACTACGACAAAAGTTGAAAAAACAAGTTGAATAAATTCAACTATCTATAAAGTTAAAGCGTATATATTCGTTGTCTTTTTTTTATTGCATTTTTTATTTGTTGTTGTTTTTTTTTTTTTCTTATATTTGATGTTCACTTCCATCTACGAACAAAAAAGAGGTAGTAGAGTGGTGTTCAACGAAGAAATGTATTAGTAGATGTTTTTTTTTTGCGTTTATGATAATAAAACTTAACAATGCTTAAGATTAGATTTATTATTATCATCACTTTAAAAAAAATGCAATCAAGGTCCAACAGAGTCACAGTGAATATAATGATAATCAGTTCTTAAGTCAGTCTTATACATATGTATAACATGAACTGTTTTTTGTTTGTGGGTGTGGATTATGATCGAATAATTCAATGATTTACTATCGAATTAGTTTTTCTGTCATTGATAATTGGTTAAAAGATCATTCATTAAGGGCTTCCATCAGATAGAAATCAAATTGTTTTTGACTTTGTTCATTCTACCTGAACATGTTCGATATCCATTGACGTTCACTTCTGTCGATGTTCGTTTCTAAATTTATTTTAGAAAGAGTCGATTTGCTCAAATATATTCTTTTTTTATATAGGTAATTTATTAGTAGAGGATACTTCATAGAATTCTGAGAAGATGCTGATGAAAATTAGTATAGGTTAAAAATTTAGTGAAAAGTAATTCAAAAACAACAAAGAAATCATAATAAGTACCCGAGCATTCAGATATGTCTAACCATTCTCTTCATTGTGTTCAGAATTATATAGTTATTATTGTCTTCACTCCCTTTTTCTAAAAGTCCTTGATGAATAGTCACTAACAGCAATTATTTTCTAGTGTCATCTATACGTTGTCTTTTTCAAACTTTTGATTGAGAATAATTTAGAATAATCATCTGTACATTCTTGATGAAGATTATATTTTGTGTAAAAATCTTATGTTCAACAGCTTTTTGTCAACTCAATCCTAATCAGACACCATGTATAATAATTTGTTTTATCTGCTTTCATTCATTGATTAGAAAAAAATAAAAAAAAGAATTTTATTTATGAATAAAAGTAAATAATTATTTTAAATTTATCTAAGTCGTATTTGGATTGCATAACGTTTTTATGTAGAAAAATATTAATCACGTGTGTATGTGTTGTTGTTAGGTAAATACATTTGAGAGCTAATTTTTAAAGCATAAATCACATGATTAATTGGAAATGACGACGTTATCAAGATATTTAGAATAGAAAACTTTATTGACTCTCAATGGATGATTCTTTTTTTGATTGGTTTTTATTTTCATAAGTCTCGTTATGATGTATTACTTTATAGTTATATGTTTACTCATGCGTTGTATTTTTTTTTATGTATTTTTCTATACATTTGTTTACATAGACGCAAGAACGTTTATAAACTAATGTTTTATCCAATAAAAAAAAAAAAAATTACAGTGTGCATGTTGACATTAACCAAACCATTACCGATAGTAAATTGCATGTCATTGAATGTAATTATTCGATTGAACCTTGAGCATTATGAAAAAATTTTGACAACAAAATTCACTTTTAGATAGAGATATGTGAAACCCACTTTAGTTTCGATTCCAGTGACTGAAATTGAATCAAATTCAACAGCAATATGACTCGGACCACTGTAAAAGGATTTACTTGAGACTAATGGGGATTGCACCTAAAACACTTCGTTCAGTACATTTTTACTTACACAGATAGAAATTCAATATCATTCAGTTTTTTTTTATATCTGAAGGTATTCTCTTATATTCATGCATGAAAGTTAACAGAATGCTTTTTTTAGCAACTTTTTCTGATTTCGACGAACAACAATAATGTAACAAGCAATACGATAAGTTCTTCTAAGAAATCTTTCCGATTCTTTACGTATAATTACTATATGAGATCATTACTATCTTTCATTTAATGACTAAGTCAAAAGAAATGTAAAAAAAAAACGCAAATGATATTGCACATGTGACAAAATTTGAAAAACTTCTTGAAACAATGAATCAAGTAAGAAATAATATACTTATTATTATAGATAGAGAATGAAGGCGAATACATAGATCATAGAAGGTAAACTGAATTTTTTCAGATGTTTAAGAGGGTGAGGATAGGTGTGCACGCTGGGCATGTCTACAAAAACTATCGGTAAGCGTCTACATGTGTTAGGAAAAATGTTTCAAGTTCCGAATAATTATTAGCTGTGGAAAATGTTTTTGTATTGAAAAATTTGAACAAAGAAATGTTTCTCTTACAGCTATAGGAGCATAAGCTTTTTACATAGCTTTTTTTGATTTAAATACATAATCCATTCTTTTATGGAATGAGAATTGTTCCTATTAATTGATAGTTAATAAAGCTAAGGTTTTATATGACTTTTTTCTTTCACTTTCTTCGACTGTACGAGTCAAAAGAGAATTTAGCTTTTCTTTTCTGTTGATAGGATGTGCATGGATAATAGCATTCCACACGTAATAGTCTAAAACATTGAGATCAGTACTATTTTGTGACCATCTGTTCTATCTATAAAATATATGAAGTTTTCTATCACATCATAATAATGATTTCGGATATGTCTGTGACGCTTTGTTGTCTTGTTCATAGGTGAATTCGTTGTCTAGAAGCTGTTTGCTTTCAGAAGCAAAATTTAAACATAAATTTTCATATGATAATGTTTTACCAGATTTAAATGTAATAGAATACATAAGACCATTTTTAGATGTATATAACCATGTCATAATTCTTTTTTGAATACTTAGCCTTTTGGTTTATATCTTATTGTTCGTCTGCTTGTTGTCGTCTTGCAGAATAAACACATTCTAATGAGAAATATTTATCATCAATGCATAATATTATCATCCATCGATGAGATAAGAAAAAGCAAATTGATCGTTTACCAAAAATTGGTTATGTTTGCAACGTGAAACATGGGCCATACAAAACTTAGCTTATTCTCAAAGCAAACGGTACATAATTAAAATAAAGGTTACTTTCTAGAGTGTAGAGCTTTTCTTACTGTACCTTATCATAACATTATTCTGTTGTGTCTTTAACAGAACATATTTAGACATTAAATATAGATACCATCAAAAGAATAATTATTTCCTATCAATATCGAAACTTATTCAGATTATTCGCGATAACTATCCAAGAAAAAATATTTTTTTAGCAAATATTCAAACGGCTGTATCTATACGTAATTTTCTGTTGTGTATACATCCAAGAAGAGGTTTTACTATGCTCGAATTTATTATTTACTACCAAAATCAAATTTCCAGTCAGATTCATAAATCTTAATTAACTAGTCTAAAAGTATTTTTTTTTTGTAATAAGATAATATTCAGCTGGACTAGTAACTTTTATTAAAAAGTCCAAATAATAAAATTGGAGTTAGCGGTTTAATTATTTTGTTCAAAGAGATTTTTATATGTGATCAGGTGAATGGATAAAAAATAAATGATCGGGTTAATAGATAGATAAAACAGAAAGAAAGAAAGAAAGAAACAAGCAATCCTAGCCTATCTAGGTAATGTTCATACAAATTTATGAAAAAAAAATAGAGATCGATTGCTTTGTTTAATTATAATCACGATGCATAGATCGTGAACGAATTAATGTTGTTGTAACGACTTCAGCACGTTGTTCAGCATCTTCAAGTTCTCGTTCAAGACGACGAGCACGTGTTAATACTAAACAAAAAAACGAAAACAAATAGTTTATATAAATTAATCTACAAAAAAAAAAACAAAGACAACGAAAAATAAAAATCAAATAACCTTGTGCAGCTGATGATTCAGTACTTTCAATTTGTGATTTGTAAATACGCATCTTATCATTAGTTTTGCTAATTGAATCTGTAAGTGAAAGAACTTTAGTTTGTTCTTCATCAACTTGACTTAATAATTCTTTGACACGTTTTTCATTACGACGTAAGTCTTTAAGAAGTTCTTGATAACGAGCACGTTCTAAATCAATTTCAGTTTCGAGTTGTGCAAGCTAAACAAGGAAAAAAAATTGTTGAGAATGAATAAATAATTTTTTTTTTTATAACTTACTCGGCCTTCATATTTAGCTGCAATACGTTTTCCTTCAGCTCGAGCATAAGCTTCAGCTTCATCAATCTTAGAACTACAATCACGTAATTGTTGATCTAATGCTCGTTTAGATGCTTCTGATTCAGCTGTCTTTTCACGTTCATGACGAATTTCTTCATCACGAAGAATTATTTCTGCAGCTAATTTGCGAGCCTAAAATTAAAAATTGATCACATTAAATACGTTTTCAAAAAAACAAAAAAAATTAAATTCGAAAACTTCTGTTCATGTTGAATTCTATTGATATTCACATTATCGAAAATTAGATCGATATTTTCTCAGCTTAGAGTACCATAGAAAAAAGTCAGTATTTAAATACTAAATCCATTCAATGAAAACTGATTGATCTCCGGTTAATATTTCTGATCAGAGTTTGTCGAACGCTATTGGTAGTAAAAAACAATCAGACAAAAACATTGAAGTTTATATAGAAATTTTTACGAGTACTTTAAATACAATGATTGTGTAGTTCGATTAAAAAGGATCATAGTTAACTCCGAGATGTACTAGTTTGTAAAGAATAGTTTGCTCTATCATTTTGTGTAATCTTAATACAGTAATATTAATATGTTCTCGATGTTGAAAATCTCGATTTTAAGTTTTCTAGTGAATCCATCTTTGGAAAGTTGGTAGTCATTTTTATAATCTTACATTTTTGTTCGAAGATTTTTCTCTATTCGAATCAATAACTGAATTCATTTTAGCATTTAATTTAGTAAAACAAAACCTAATTGAAAATAAATCTCATCGAATAATTTTAATAACCAATGTATATCTATGCATCAGCCTAACATCATTTAACTAACTGAATATCAATCATTCAACTTGTATTGATTTTATTTGGTATTACTCATTAATTATTTTCATAAAAGTTGAAGTTACCTAATACATTAGTTTGCTTAATCAAATATATATCATTTCTACTTGAATAATACTACTTATTAAACAGTCGTATATTGACTGTAAACTATTATTGGAAAACTCTTGTTTAATTGAATAATTCATCGAAGAAACTTGAAGTGTTTTTAAATTAATACTAGAAAATTCTGATTGAACAAAGTTTAAAGATTTCAAAAAATTCTAGAAGTTCATTTTATAGAAAAGTCACGGTTAAAAATAACAAACTTTGTCATAATTATTGCTAGGCGAAATACTTTACAAAACGTATGTTTTTTTTTTCAATAATCTATGATCAACTTTAAAATATCGACTTGAAAATAATGCACAAATTTAGAATAAAAGATTTTTTTTTTCTTTACCCGTTCATCAACAATCTTAAGTTCTTGTCGAACATCAAGAATTTCTCCTTGATATTGCATAGCATCAGCTTCATATTTTCTTCGTTCTGCAATAGCACGATTAGCTAATGATGTTGCTTCAGTTAATCGTTGTTCCGAATCATGTAATTCAAGTTCAGTTGTTTTACGAGCTTTTTCACTCTACCATAGGAAAAGAAAAAAAAAATAAAAGCAATAAATTCAAATAGAAAAATCATTCGCATAATATACACGATCAAGTAAAACACGTAGTTCTTCGATTTCAACACGAATAAGACCTTAACGAAAAAACAAAAACATTTTTTTTTCCATAATTTATTTATTTAAAAAATAAAATATTACCGAATCGTTTTTCTGATGTACTGAGTAATTCTCTTGTTGCAGCATGTGCTGTTTGTTCTTCAATAAGACGATCTTGTGCTTCTTTAATATTAACTTGAAGTTTTTTAAGATGATTTTCCATTTCACTTTTTATTTTTTTAAGTGAATCATAACGAAGACGTAGTTCATCGATTTCATTTTGTAATTTTGATTTAATACGACTAACTTCTGTTTTATAACGTATTTCAATTTCTTCCATTTGTGCTTGCATTTGTTCTAATTGTTTTCGTTGACTTGATCTAAAATTTTCTTATTCATAATTAAATATCAAAGACAAAAAGAAAAAGAATTTTTTTTTTTACCGAAGTATGTCAAGTTCTTCTTCTTTTTCAGCTATCTTCTTTTCTAAATCACTACGAAGTTTATCAATCGAAGCATTTAATACATTATATTTTGTTATTTCAATATGTATTTGTTCACGATATTCTTCAATTGTTGATCCTAATGATAATTTTTCTGCTTCAAGTTGTTTACGAATACGATCCATATCGACAAGACGTGTATTTAAATCAGATATTTGATTTAATGCAACATCCATTTCGTCTGTAGAAAAACAATTTAAAATAAGATTTAGATTCAGAAAAATCAACTTATGTACTTCAAAGAAAATTCACAAAATTTAACTTATAGTTTTTAAATTCAATATAATAAGAAAATACATTTTATATTTTGGATATTGTGAATAATATAAGACGTCAAAAACTGGCGCTCTTAACTCGACGTTTCCAGTAACCCCCAAAAATAGTGAAAATAGTGCGATGACTACCTGTCAGCGGAAATAAAGGACTTATCAAACAAAATGACGTTCTTCACGGAAAACTTCGGCAAAAAATAGGAACTTGGATGTAGGAATTCGTTGGTCGAATTTTCTAGCTTCGGTCAGAACCGATCATAAATGGACAAAGACGATCATCGAACCCGATTACCGAATTCTTGCTGCCAATTTTCTACCATATTCCGAAGTTTTCCAACGAAATCATTCATTTGAGGAAATTTAACGCTATCATACAGAGTTTTATAGATGTTTTCGATTTTTAACGATGTCAAATATACTCTGTAGACAATCATTGTTGTGATGATTGATATATTTTGATTTCGTATTCTTTTGGGAAATGACATCAGAATCTATTACTGTAAGTAATAGATTAGTTATAAAAACATTTGAAAAGGCTCATTGTATTTGTAACAAATACTAATTTATCACTTGTTCATTAATCTACTTTTTGAATCTTCTTATGAATAGTTCTACTCGTATAATACTCATCAGTCATATCAAACTTCTAATTTTTCACTAATCTTCTTTATACTGTATATGAAGAAAGAAATAGAACAATTTTTTAGTCCTTGGATAAATAAACTGATAATGTGTCAAAATGTATCAGATATCAAAAACGTTGTACTCTAGCTAATTTCGAAGAGTAGATTCAGATCTCATTCGTGTTTGTGAAAGCTATGATTCAGCAATAAAATTAATTATTCATAGTTTGATATTTTTCTAGTAGTATATTTCCAGTGATTGTATCTTTCTTTCACACTAGCTCTATTAAATAATGATACCCGAATCACAATGTAGATAGTGTCTCGCTTCATCGTGAGATGGAACATCAGTAGATTTGATGATCTTCCATGCATCCTGATGATAGTGCCCTTTGTTTTTAAGAATGCACTTCAATCTATGAATATGATTGATTTTCATGTATTTTTTATATTTAGAAATCGTTTACATATATATGATATTGATCTTATTTGATATCATGGATATGAAATAATAACTTTCAAGGATATTGAGAAGAAAGAATATGGAGTCTGTACTTTCTTGTAAACAACCATGTCGCACTTTATATGACCTTCCAATACGAAGACAAGAAATAAGAATTTATTTTTGATTGTAAATCATCGTATCTTTCGACAAAATAGTTGTTGTCGCTCTTGTTTATTTAATCTGATTAAGAAAATTTTCATTAAAAAAAAAGTCACTTTGCAAAACATTTATTTGGACACAATGGGGTGATACTGAGATGAGTTTTTAGTTGTCTAGTGGCTCTCAAATAAAAACAATTTTTTTTTGTTTCAAGAGGATTACTTTAGCAGTCCGAGAGACAAACTCAATTCCTGGGAGCATATCTAAGCTTAATATTACACAAGTGTCTTCACAGAAAACCTAATCCGCAATGAAACACTCGATTACGTTTTCATTAGTAATCATCTATTTTCCTATGATTCGAAAAATATGCTTCTAATTATAGGATATTGAACTTCTAAACATTTGTTGCATTCTAAAAAAAAAACAAATGCTTTAAACTATTCAATACCTTGTAAACGACGCTTGTCTCGTGTAATAATATCAATTTGTTCGGTGAGTTGTTCATTTAAGCTTTTCACTTTAACTAATTCACTTTGATAATTACGATTAGCTTGTACAGCTGATTCGAGTTCAGCACTTAATTGACTTAAACGTTGACGAGATTCATCAACTTCTTTTTCTAATTGTTTATTACGTCGAACAGCTTCATCAGCTCGTTTACGATACTAAATATAAAATTATTTATTTTAACAAAAAAAAAATTTTTTTTTATGTTACTTTTTCAACTTCACCATTAAGTTTATCTAATTCAGCTTGAAGACGTTGTTTAGCTTTTTCAAGATTACTTGCTTTAGCAAGAACTTCAGTAAGTTGTTCTTGAACTTCATTAATACGTCCATTAAATTTACGTCTAAATTAAAAGAAGAAAAAAAAAAGCAGAGAAAATTAATTATTGCACGATAAAATTTTTGCTGAAGCAAACCTTTGATCTTCAAGTTCTTCATTTTTTGATTCAATTTCTCTTTCTAATCTATCTCTTAAAAGTCTTGTTTCTTCTTGAATTTTAATTAAAATTTTTTGTAATTCAACTTTAGCTTCAATTTCATCTTCAAGTTGTAATTTTGTTGATTCTAAATCCATTTGAAAAGTTTTTACTGTTGATTGTAATGTTCTATTTGTCTATAATAAATAAATAAATAAAAAAATAGAATAAAATTACTAAAAAAAAAACAAAGATTTGAGATCTATTTCTTACAGCCATTTCAGATTCTAAATGAAGTCTTGCTTCTTCAAGATCACCTTGTGTTCGTTTATATAATGTTTGTATTGATGTTAATTCAAAATCAAGTGTTTCAATTCGTCGGCTAAATATTAAATTTTCTTCAACAAGACGAGCTTTTGATGAATTAGCATCAGTTAATTGTCGTATAGCATCATCAACTTTTCCATTCATTTCAATTAATTTTCCTTCAAGTTCTTTACTTATTGATACAGATTGACTTTTAGCTTTTGCTAATGATTCGACTTCATTTTTTAAATCTTCGATTTCAATAATAAATGTTTTACTCTCCTTTTCATGTCTTCAAACACAAAAATAATGAAAATAAAAGAAATAAGATTAAAAGATTAGAATTTATAAATTCAAACCTTGTTTTTCCTTTGCTTAATGCTTCAACTTGACTTGTTAATTCAGCTAATGCATCTTGAAAACGACGACGAAGAGCATTTTGATTTTCATCATTCTCAGTTGATTGAACTTCAACTCTTTGACGTAAATCATGAATTTCTAGTTTTAAACTGAAATATTATTATTTTATTAATAACAAAGAAAACAAAAGAAAATTCTATCTCTAACAAACCGTTTATTAGTTTCAAGTTCTCTGTCACGTGCATTTGTAATTTCATCTAATTGTTGTTCTATTTCGTCAAAATCAATACGTAAATTTGTTAATTCTTTTTCTTGACGATATCGAACATCACGTTCAGTTTTTAATTCCTCTTCAAGGTCTCGTAAACGATTCTAGAAGATTTTATTTATGAAGATCAATAAATTAATAATAGTATTCAACTTACAGCTAAAATGACTTCGGTCATCTTTGATTACCTGCAAAAAAAACCAATGAATGAGATAAAATCAATGAAAAAGAAAATCCTATAGAACATTATACATCTAACAAACTTTAAAAAAACAATACACATCACTTTCACAAATAACTAGGTATATGAAATGCTGCTCACAAATAATTGCATGAATCCAATGTTTTTCCTACAACTATTATTATTTGCAACTCAGGGCAGAAAGTCGGTCTGACTCAAAGATTTTTCGCTTAATCGCATATTAACCAGGAGACCGGATCTATATCATAACGAACTCGGCATGCTATCAGACGGATGATCGGAGGTAAGCAGTCGTAGAAGACTTTCCAAGGTCATTTCATGACCCCTATTAATGCTGAAGCTCAAGTAGTGCACTTAGAGAACATACATCGAACATCATAACCACTTAACCATTGCGGCTTTCTAGCTTTAAGGACAACTGCCTATCTATAATACCGAATATAGAATTGGCTTTGTGTAGAGCTGTTCTTGTTCTACTATTAGAGTTCCTCATCTGTGTCACTCTTGGTAAATATCTCGCCTCATATAAGTATAGATTAGATTAAAAGAGATCTATTGATGATATATATTAAATAACGAGAGAAAAAATTAGACTCGTACAAATTCATAATTTTTGTTTTCTCTTTATAAATCATAAATTAAGAAAATATTTCGTACATAAATACTAAAAGTATATGACGAAATATCCATAATTATCAGATATCGTTTAATATGATGAAATGATATATATTGAGATTTATAGAATTTCTTAAGAAGAAAAAAATATGACAAGGACAGCATGATTGCTAACATCTAGACTCACTCACATATTCTTATATGACATCTCACAAAGAAAAATTGTTCAACTACTAAACAATGAATATGAAACTCTCAATGTCATTCAATAATTAGAAGACTGTAATCAAAAGAAATATTATGAAACAATCGTTCATTTTCTTTTCATTACTTGTCGATTGTATTAAATACCTTATATAGTCAAACGACAAATGTTGTTGTTGTTGTTGTACGACGAGAAAGCCAAAGAACAACTATTTTAGTGTATCTTCCTATCGTTATCGTCAAGAAGAAAAAGAAAAAAACAGCCTATCCTAAATACATCGTTTGTACCATATACATATATAGTTCTTTTTCTCGTTTGGTAAAAGAGTACTGATCATCTAATGTAGGATACAGCAAATGGAGTGTTATCAATAACGGAGGAGGTTTTTCTTTTTCTATTCTAAGCAAATATGTTGTTTCTGCAACTCATCATTGTCATAAACAACAACAACAGCAAGGCGTTATTTCGGCCATTAATTCTATAGAGAAAAAAACAAAAAAGAATGTCTTAGTAATAATCCATGACCTTGAGAATCATTGTATTTATGAAATAAATAAAAAAAAAATCGTTCCAAAAAGAAAAAGACATAATAAATAATTTTTTTTTATTTCATCATTAGTCAACATCAAAAAATGGCTCATAATTTTCTGATTCATTTTCATTTGAATTTCTATCATGTTTGAAAGGTTTATTAGCAGTTTGAACATAATTGTTGTCGGATACATCATTCGATGTTTGAAGTGATACAGCTTCATAATCATTTTGAGCAGTGTCATCGTCTTTTTGTTTGATTAATTTCTGATCATTAGTTTTTTTCTAAATAATATATGATGTAAAAGTAATGATACAAATAGTCGATGTCTATTTTTGTTCGATAGAAGGTTACTAAAAGAAAATTTTTTTCGATGAAAATGTAAGTTTTTCTTCTCTTTCAAATTGTATATAGTCTATTTTCAAAAATAAATTTATAAATGAAATGATGCAAAAGAAAAGCGAAGTGGTTGTTAAAAAAGAATCTGTACTGTTTCTGAAAAAGAACGAGACAATATGTCGATCCTAATATATCTTCTCCATAAATATGTTCTACGAGAAGAATTATTTTATTAGCCGATAGGAAGTTTTCTTCTCTTTCGAACTATACATGATTTATATTTGTCACATAATCATCAATAAAATGAGAGAAGAAAAACAAAGGAAATATTCTTATGCAATAAATTTGTAACTTGCAAAACAATTCGTTAGACATATCATACAAACAATAGTGAATTATAATTAACTGTTATTTTAGAAAATTCTTTTAACAAATTCATGAAATTCGAAAAAACTATTGTTTAATAAGATGTTGTTCAGTAATCTATAAAAATGACAAATTTAACACGCAAATGTTTCTCTTTTTGTAATCGTCTCATTGCATTTATAATATTTCTAAACATATTTATCCAATACCGATAACAATTTACATTATGTAGCGTTTTTTGAATCTTACAAAAAAATTATGGATTTTTTCAAAGGCTACTTTTCTTTTCTGTAGTGTTATGAAAAAAATATACAATTTGAAAGAGAAGAAAAAAATTTGTTTTTTTTTTCGTAAAAAAAAGTTTTCTTTCAGTGACCTTCCATCGAAAAGAAATAGAGATCGATCTATTTGTATCGTTACTTTGATATTAGATGTTTATAAAAAAAAATAAAATATTTTTCATTATTTCTTTTAAACTTACTGTTTGAAGTGTTCTATATGCATTATTAGGAGAATCAGATCGTAATTGTCGACCTGATAAAGTTGAATTTGTAGTTGCTAAAGTTTCTGTTATTTTTTGAATATTTTGTTTAGGTTTCATGACAGGTGATCTTATTTTTGATGAACTTGATTCTACTCTACTATCATAAACAAGTGTAGCACCAGCACTAATTAATTGTTTAACGACAGATGTTGTTGAAGCTGGTGGATAAACATATTTTGGATAACTAATTGGTGGACTTATTTTACTTCGCTGAGTACGACTATTAGTTATTGGTGTACGATTATTCAATGACTCATAACTACCTGATCTTGTTTTTAAATTTGTTATTTCAGCTAAAAATAAATATATTATTTTAGAAATAAAAAACAAATAATTTTCATTCTTCTCTTTTTCATCTTACGTGTTGGACGAATAGGTAACATTGGACGTGGTTGTTGTATTAAACGTTCACCAACATCAACAGTTCTTCTTCGATCACTTAAACTAACTACCTATTGGAGATAGATAAATAGAAATAGTATTTCATATTTGACTATTGTCATTTACTCGACGAGCTTTTGAAGGACTATCAGATGAAAATTGTCTATGATTTCTAGAACTAGCCATTGGTGTATCATCGACTGTCATTTGATCAAATTTTTGTTTTAATTGTTTAACAAGTGGAGTAATTGGTCGATCATTAGTAGCTTTATTTGATGCTTGTGATGGAAAATATGAGTTACACTTTATGAAAGAGAAAAAAAAACAATTATAAAAATGGTACTAAACAATCTTATTTACTTCATTAGTATTTAAATTGGATGCTTGAAAGACAATATTAGTTGTATGACGTCGTGTAAAGTCACGTTTCTTGAATAAAAATAAAATATATTGTCAAGAAAATTTTCTGAACAATTTTATTTTATAATTTACTTGACGATCAGGACCAACTGTGCTGTTAAGTAGTTGAGGTAAACGTATTTCCCATTTTGATTTAGATGTATTTGAAACTACTTGTGATTGATACATAGGTGCATAAGACCTTACAACTATATACAACTAAATCGATTAAAAATAACGAAAAAGATTTAATTGATTCTACTGTTAGGGTTTTCAACAGATAGTTGTCGATCAGAATAAAATGGTTTTTTTGGAACTGATCTTCGATCTTCATCATCATCATCAGATTGTAAGGAATGAAGACTTGTCTCATAAAGTCTTTTCCAATCTTTTACAAAAAGTTAAAAAAAATAAAAGATACAAATAGTTTTTTTTTTTTTACATCTCATTTATTTAATTAACATACTATCAAGTAAATTAGATGAACGATCATTTTCGGTATTATCTCGTCGATCATTGTTATTTGATGTCTTGTTTATCATATATGTAGTAGGTAATGGTAAAATTGGTAAATCATCTTCATTATGATCATCATCATCATAATCGTAATCCATTGAGAATAGTCTTTTATTTAAAACTTCTTTCTTGATTGGTTCGCAATGAAACTCAATGTATGTTGGTAGAGTTCTTTGTCTTTTAGTAAAAAAAAAATCATAAGATATTTAACATAGAAAGTGTAGCTATCTTCTCGTTGTAAGATAAAGATAAAAATTTGACTTGAATCTTATTCTTCGGTAAACAGATGTGCATACAACATCAAATGTTATAGAACAAATATAGAAACTAGAATGTAAAAACAAACCGAACGTCGTCATTAGAAGTTCGATGTAAAAATAAGTAAAAAAAAACAAAAGCTACATGCTTGATATTAATTTAATTATTATACTTGATATCGAGCTACAATAAGCGAATTTTCACAAAGAACTTACTGATTCATAATCAAATAAGAATTTTGTATTTATATGAGTTATTTATTTTTTAATAACAACATTATATATAAAGATATAAGAAGTGTAAGCGACTATTATGTTGTAGAAGAATTCTATAAGATTAAAAAAAAAACGTCATCTATACAAGTAAGTTCTTTTTTAACTTATCAACTTGTATCCAAATTATATTTCGTTCTTAGGAATGTGTGTACGGAAAACATTTGCACGCCTGAAAATGAGAATGCACTTCAAAATATTTTTTCTGCATTTTCTCACTCATCCTTATGTGCTTCGCATGCCTAGTCCTTTTTTTTTGATTTGGTGATCACCTTTCGAAAGTGTGAAACCGTTTCTTCGATGCTCTTCCGACACGTCTTGAGCAATAAAATAGCTCACCTAGACACTTACAAATCCCAAAACATGTAGGTTTTTGAATTTGATTGTTATTCTACTCTCTTCAATGAGAGTACTGTCTATTGTGCTATTGTAGTCTCATCGAATTTGCAAACTTGTCGCAATATCACTGAAAACAGAAGTTACTTTTCAATCGCAAGTAATTAGTAATTTATAACTAGCATGAATTATTTGCTTTAAATGACTTAATTAGTGTACAACTTAACTACTTGTTGTTAATCATTCATAATTGTAAAATAAGTTATAGACGCCACCCTTCAATTGTTGATACTTTTTTTTAATCAAAAGCATGTAATTATATGGCTTATGTAAATTTAGTAGTCTTTCATGAAACTAAACAAAATTTCGGAGTCGAGAGATTTAAATCTACAGATGGTTTCTCAAAAGTTTTCTGTTAGTAGAAGCCTATTTTTCAAAAAAAAAACGAACTTTTATAAAACTTGATTAAGAGTCAGTAAAAATCAATAATGAACAGTTGAGAAAATTTCATTTGAGAGCTGCGAAAAATAATTTATAGAGTCAAGGTTCTTGACTCTGGCAACTTCTGCTCAAACTTTATCAAATAAAGTTAATTCTACTAAATAGTATCTTCTTCAGAACAAAAAGGACTGGGTCTGTTTTGATGTTGGTACATGTCTATATAGAACGTAACAAAAGCTTCTGCCATGTTTGGTGAGTACTTATTGAACATTGAACAGGAGATCAGACTAGTCTCTTATGATTCATGAGAAACTGCTTTGAACATTATTCGTATTGAATTATGTCTACTATTTCATTGCAAATACCATATGGAATTGATTGCTCTATTTCTGTTATTGCTTATGATCAATTTCATTGAAGTAATGTTGCTTTTTAAAATTTTCTCAAGAAACAAAAAGTGGAATTATTGACTCTTATGATGCCAGATATATATTTGTTACACTATCTGCCAAATTAGCAGAAAAGATTCAATCTGTTGTTAGGATCGATTCTTTTTTTTCATGATTTTATGTATTTTTTTCCTCGAATCTTGTTTGCAATCATAGAAGTAAAAAGAGTATATAATTCTATCAGAATTTATTTCAGATGTTAATCTTCAGTTTTTGAAAATGAAAAAGTGTTCATACTTTTGATTGTGATAATTTTAAACGAATTTGCCAGATATTAATTGATTTCGGTCACTAGTAGAATTGAGATAAAGAAAGAAAATCATCAGTTGAAACAGCACTTACTGATCATACTAGTATATTATCGCAGTTGATTTAAACGGGAAAGTGAAAATTAGTCGATGCGAACATATGTGAACAATATTATAATAAGATAACAAAATTTATTTATCAAAAACACAAGCTCTTATTCTCAAGGAAGGAATGAAATCATAATAACTGTATTGAAACAATAATGTTACACAAAGCAGATCAGTCACAAAAAATAAATAGATAAATACACAATAATGAGAAATCACAAGTTATGAGCAAGATAGTCTAGTTATTGAAGAATACTTGGTTGTAGGTGTCTAATTGATTGATATAAACGTATACTATAATGCAAATACTTTTTATTTGGTTGAACTTTTTCACCAGATTCAAGTTTCACCAATTGACAAGTCCTTTTTCGTTGGTATTCAATTTATCGGTTTCAAGAGATAATTTTACTTTTCAAAGACTCTTGGTCTTTAATCATAAAATTGTCGACTATTTTACGTAGTGACTAATTTTCGTAAACCCAATATAAGCACCACCTTATGGAAAGAATACTTACATAAGTGATCATTAGTATGTAACAACAGAAACACATTATATGGAAGACGATAATCTTGCAGCATCCATGCGGAGAATATTTCTAGTCTCAGGAAGTAAAAGTAGTAAAAATGCAACTTGAAGTATGGCATCGATACTTGTATATTATGATGTAGACCTAGATGGTGCACATATTATACATTCAGCAGAAAATGAGTCAAGCTTCGTTTTTGGATTGACTGAAGAAGTTTTTTTAATAGAAAAGAAAGGTTTTTTTTATAAGAGAAAGTTAGACTAATTGTTTAATAAGATGATTTGTTTAATTTAAAAAGAGCTTTCGAGAAAAGTGAGTATTTTTATGTTCTGTAAGCATAATTCATAATCAAGAAATAATTTAACAATATAAATATATATCATAAATTTTTAGGTCATTGTTTGGATTTAATAAGTCGATATACTATGAAAAAATATCCAAATATGCATTTATTCACTAAAACAGCTGCTGAACTTGTTAAAAGGTTCAAAGGATACGAACTGAATCATCGTTATCTTTATCTGTAAAACAACAGTATGAAAATAGGTAGAATTCCAGTCCCAATGTGCTAAATTCCGTTGATGCAAATTATGGACCGTTAGTGACCTCTTATCAATTTCTAAGAAGGCTAGTGAACAACATTCTTCGAATCAAGAACCTAGACATGAAACTGGTTTTAACAGAAATCAATAAATTGAAATCCTATTGCAATATCAAAAATAATAAATTTCTAGTGATTAAACATTGTACAAAAAACTATATTAGAATAAATAAAAGAAAAAACTTGAATGATTCAACTACATAGCATAGCAACATTTCTTCGCCCTGTAATAAAAAGTTTTTTAACGGCTTCACTGATTTGTTGTTTACACATAATTTCATTTAGTCATACAATCAAAAAAAAAATGCCAGGATATTCACAAAAGCTACAAAGAATATGATGAAAAAGATCAACATCATTGAAGAGGATCAAGCTTTCGAAAACCGAGAAAAAGAAAATGGAGTAGTTTTTCATAAGACAATGTAATGATAGAATCCGCTCAAAAAAGTCAACCTTAATCTACGAACAAAGAAGATAGCGACGAAATCGATCAATATATTATAGCAAAGTTAATCATTAAGAATGAAGAATCTGTATTCTAGCTGGTAAAATAAATAGACTGTCATCATATCCCAAACTTAGTATTCTAACTACAATACAATTTCATCTTTTGTTGTTACATTGTGATTGAAGAGTATTCTTACGTATTTTAATCTTTTACATTATTGAGAAGATATTCGTCTTGTCTTGTGAATGTTACATTCTTTAAGTACACTCCTTATGGAATATGCTTTATGTTCTGACATTTGTTCAGAAACTCAATATGTTTCTCTATTCTTACACGTTTTGATATAGTATTTTTAAATCGCAAGCAATTGCTGTAATCCTCTCTCCGTAGAGAATTTTAAATTTATTTTTTTTTGTGGATGAAGGCCATAATAGTGTTGTGTATTCTTTTTTCTTTTTGTGATATTTCAGCAGTCGATGCTGCCTTCTTTGATCTTTTGTTATTGGAAAAGAAATTGAAAAGTACTAGGGCACACGCATTTTAGTATTTTTTTAAAATTTTTCCTTTCTATTGTTGTTGTGGTTTTGATAGTAGGTCGGCAAAATGGTGTTAGCTTGCAGAAGTGACTTTCTCTTGTTATCTTCTTTCGACCAACTATCAAAATCACAACAACAATAAAAAGAAAAAGGGAAAATATAGTGTGTATTCTAGTGCCTTTCACCTCATTTTCCACCGATAAAGACCGAAAGAAGGGAGCATCGACTGCTGAAATATCACAAAAAGTAGAATGAGTACTTTACAGTAACTCAAAAGAAGTTTTAGTGATAACTAACAATTATGAACCTTCTCAAGAAAAATTAAAGCTAGAGGTCTGTATACATCTTAGTCGATGAATTTTTCCTCAAGAAAAACTTAACTTCATCAGACTGTTAAGATGATTTCAGCGACATTCTTAATTAGAACAATTGAATAATACTATATATCAGTGCTTTTTGGTCGAATAGACTACGAAGATTTAGTTTTTCTATGCAGAATCACATGCGTATGAGAGAATCGCTTAGCTGACGTCTTTCAATCTCGATTGCTGAATGAAGTAATTGTTTACGTGCTCTGTTTTTTATGAATTCATCAAATGAGAAAAGTTCTACGTGGTACTTATCAATTGGATCAAACAACTTGACAAAAGAAACCTTTGTGCATGCCAAAGAATATACCATTCTTACATGTAAAACATGGCTCAGAACAGGTGAATGAGAAGCGATGTGCAAATTGATGATGCTGACAGAATGTGAAAAACATTCCATTATGTTGACAAAAAAAACGAATGAAGTTAAGATTCTTCGTTAACTATTGCTTTCAAGCTTTTGCAGAATTCAATTGCATTTACTTGCTCGAGAGAAAAATCTGCCA